CCTACAGCCTAAACCCTAAACCCTCAAACCTAAACCCTAAACCCTAAACCCCAAACCCCAAACCCCAAACCCCTAAAACCAAAACCCTAAACCCTAAACCCCAAACCCTAAACCCTAAACCCGAAAAACCCTAAAACCGCCTAAGCGTCCGGATCTCTAAGGCAGGCTCGGACTGGTGCCACTCGCAGAAACAGATCTCGGAACTGTGGCTTAAGGCGAGCCTGTAGGGTTTAGGGTTTGGGGTTTAGGGTTTAGGGTTTGGGGTTTAGGGTTTAGGGTTTAGGTATATATACATATGTATATATATATATATGCGTATGTATATGTCTCTCTCTGTCTCTCTCTGTATATATATATATATATATATATATATAGAAATACATACAGAGAAAGAGTTACGGACATAGGTGTATATATATATATATACATACATAGGTGTGTGTATGTCTTGATGTATCTATTTGTTTGTTCTTTGATGTGCTTGTGTCCCACTCTTTTTCTAGGGGTGTCCATGGCAGTCCAGGATTTGTTCCAACTGCCTTTGCCGTCTGAAATTCCAAAGTAAGCGCCCAAACACCTGCATGCTTGCTGAGGGTTAGTGGAGCCTACCAGTAGCAGCCTAGAGTCAATGTCGGGCCTCGGGGAGAGTTTTGTCGAGGTTTATTTCCCGAGTATCTGCGAGACAGGGGCTGCATTATGGGGTAATTGCATGCGCTGATTATGCCGAAACGCCCGGGCTGCACGAAAACGAATGCATGGCATGAACTTAGTTCATTGCTTAGCAGGGTTTGAGGTTCACATTATGTACTTGGGTGTGATGGGCCCTCCAACTAGGACGAGCCAAGGGAAGGGGGTCGATTAGTCAGGAGTTTACGTTCAGGAGGCATAGGAAGATACCCTAACTGAAGGGGTCGAACTGCCCTGTCATAGGGTGCTTGGGTTAAGATCGTAGTATTTTTCGTTAGTATTTGGAGGAGTGTATAGAGTGCAAGCGTTGGGTAAGAAAACAAGTCAGTGAGCTCAGAGGTCATTCATTTTCTTAGCTTGTTATTCCATGAGAATGTGGCTCTCAGAAGTCCAGTGCCCACTCATTTTCTTAGTATTTTCCTAGCAAGCATTTGGCAGGAGCTAACACCTCCAACAATCCACCTGCCCTCCTTGTAGTGGGGACAGTGTTAAGAAAACGAGTACTCATTTTCTTAACCGTATTTGCGGCTGGATTTGGACCTGGGCGATGGGCCCGGGTCAAATCCAGCCAACAATATGATTCAGAAAACGAGTACTCTCAACCGTGTTTGCGGCTGGATTTGGACCTGGGGGATAGGGCGGGGTCAAATCCAGCCAACAAGACGATTAAGAAAACGAGTACTCATTTTCTTAACCGTGTTGCAGGAGCTCCGGGTGACTACTTGAAGAAATCAGTCCTCATTTCCCTCAACAAGATCATTAGAGCCCCGGAAAAGCACACAGTTAAGACAATAGGGTCCGAACGTCAGAGGGCACCCATCTTCTTAGTTAGGAGGGGCAGTGAGAATGCATATATCTGGAAAATCCAGAGCAGTGGTTTTCTTAGCCAGTGTTTTCTTAAACAGAGCCGGCACTGTAGTAGCTAGGTAGTGACTTACACAAATACCTTACTAGAATGGCCTAAGCTGCCATGTGTTCAAGCTTTTCCCGGCAGCAAGGGCAGTGCGCACGTTGCAATCAGTTGTTATAGCTCGACCACGCGGGCTTGCTACAAGTACTCAGGCCCTACCCAGGGGCGTTAATGTAGTTCATTTTTGGGGTTTGTTATGGTTTTTTGGTAAGGAATTATAGTATACTATCCAAGAAGGAACTACATAGGAGCCCTTGGGTATAGCAGACTACCGGCCTAACCTTCACAAGCTTCTGCCCTACACTCTGTTGTAGCTAGTTGGGTATCTTAAAGTCTTAGACAGAAATTTGAGCTGCCTGTTGTGGGCTGGGCTCTTTCAAAGAGTCTGCGGTATGGAAGACTTTGAGAGTGATATGGGCCGAAAGCCGACGACCGAAAATTTAAACTGGCTTTAGGGTTTAGGGTTCTATAATATAAGCCCGAGACCCCGAACTCTACCCTCCCAAACCCCTGACGTAAACCCCTAACTCAACACTGTGAAGCTGGCATTCTAGAATCCCGAAACCCCAGAAAGCCCCACATTTTGGTGAAACCTGCGGGGGACAGGTGGACTTTGCCTGGTGCCGCGATCGCCCTCTTCTTGGTCTCTGGGATCTGGAGTAGCTTTCTTGGGTTCGGTGGCCCTGAACCCTAAGCCCTAAACCCGTAGCCCCTAAAGAACCTGCCAAGCCCCCAAACCATGAGCGCTCAGATCCTAACCTCACAGCAGCCCAATTCTAAATCGCGAGAGTTCGAAGGTCTAATCAGCAGAAGAAGCAGAAGAACAATCAATAAGGTAACAAGAACGACAAGAACCCTTGATGTGGCGCTGGATGTAATAATTACATGAATTTCTTTAATTAATGCACGGCACCCGGGGCTGATTCGGTACTTTGGCAATTTTGGGGGTGACCCTGTTTACTGTGCTCCGGATTCAGCCGGATGTTTGACATTTCTACTGTCAGTTTTAGTTAAATAGTGAATGACACCAAAACGCCTCAGGCTGGATTGCGCAGGGTTTTAGAACTTTCGAGGGTGTAGAGCTTGTTCAAAGGGTTTTATTAGGGCTGAGGTTTGATTCTATGCTGCCTTACCGTACTACTCCTGCGCCACTACAATAGTTATTTTTGCTATGCGACTGTACAACCAATGTTTTACAATTGTAGAAATGTATTACTTTACCAGTGTGCGACTATTGCAATGTATTGCTGTACTACAATGTTTACTACTTAAATTAATGTGCTAGCATGCTTGTACTATCATGATACTAATCATGTACTAGAAAGGTACAGTGCCACTGTACCGGTGAGGGGCTGGTTTTGGGGAGCACACGGGGAGCGAATGATTCAGGATGCTGGAACATGCATTGGGGCGGGAACAAACCCACTACTGTGATGAGAAGAGTGTGAGCAATCCCTAAGCCTTAAACCCTAAACCCTAAACCCTCAAAAAATACCCTAAAAGAAACCAGGTCTGGGTTGGTCCAAAATTGGGCGACCGAGACAGCCGCATCCACACACAGGTGGTCAAGCTGTCTGGGGTCTGGACGGGTTTAGGGTTCAGGACTTGGATTCAATTTAGGGTGTCGATTTGTGTTTACGGCTGTAAGGTTAAGTTACCATTTCGGTTTGGATGTGTAAGTTTTTTGGATGTAGCGTTTATTGTATTGGTTTGTGCTATTTGGAAGCTTGGGCTACGCTCCTCCCAGCATCCCCCCAGCACACCACTCTGTAAAGGACGTCGTAGAAGCCTCAGAATCCACAACCCTAAACCCTGAATGATTCTAGAACAGATGTTCTTTATTAGGGAAGGAAGCTGCGAAGCACCTCATCTTGTAGCTGACGGGTCTGATTTGTGAGTTTGTAAGGTTTGGAGGCTGAATGAAGGCCTCGGATCACGGATTACCCTAAACACTCAGGGTTTAGGGTTTAGGGGGGTGTAGGGTTTAGGTGCCCTAAACCTTAAACTCGGATTGAACAAAATCGAGAGAATGGCTCACAGGCTTGGATGTCGTTGGGGCTGAGTGTAGACACAGTAGTGAGAACGCGGAAAATCTGTACAGTTCCAAATGTTCTTCTACCTTAAACCCTAAACCCTGAACCCCAAGCGAAGGCCTTAAATTCCATAGAACCGGGATCCCAGAAGATCCAGAACCTTACATGGCGACGAGTTAAGATTATTGAAGCGGCTAAGGGTGTAGGTTTGGGGAACGGAAATGGGTCTCTGAGGGAGGGCTTAGAATGACAGCCGAATACGGTGGGCTTCAGGAAACAGGAACTCTACACCAGTTTAGGGATCCTCTTCTGATCACAACGATCTTACGCGCTCGAACCCTAAACCCTAAACCGTGGCTTGTGTTACGTTGCGGCCTCTGTTCTCTGAAGCTCTCATATGCTTGTGGTAGATCGGGGGCCCTCAAAGAGCGCGGCACCATGCTTCGAACAAGAGATACTGTTGATGATATAAATCCTGCATTACCTTAAGGGCCTTAAACAATGGAATCATGATGGTATATTTTATGGCCTTACCTTAAGGACCCCAAACTATGGGAAGTATGTTATATCCCTTATTATGGCATCACCTTAAGGACCCTAAACTATGGGAATTCATGTTCCTTATTATGGGCAATGCCGCATTTGTACCTCATCAACTATAGAGATTCCGCGTAGCCGCCGAAGTTCCCCGAATCAAGGGACTAAAGGAGGGACCCTTAAAGTGACCCTTAGGGTTATATAGGGGCTTCATGAGACTACATAAGGGGTATATAGGGTATTAGGATTAGGGGTCCCTCCTATTGTCCCTTAACCGAAGGTTTTCGGAAGGGTTACTGGGTCCGACGACTCCCAAAGAAGACACTCCAAGTACTGTAGTTGTAGGCCAGGGATCCCGAAGCAGTCGCTGTTTGCGGTTTCATGTAGGGTCCTTAATAATTACCGATACTATTTAGGAGGGGCGCCTTATTATAGTTATAGGATGATATACCCCCAAAAGCCCTATTCTACTTACGAAGGCCTCTACATTAGGCCGGAAAGCACAACTCCTCGAATTTGCATCGAAGATGAGCTGGAGACCTCAAGCCCTAGACATGAAATCGGCGACCTCAGAGAGCTTGAGATTCGCGCCCACAGTTTCCGAAGAGTGGGTTTTAAGGTCTAGGGTTTAGGGTTTTGGGGAGTTTAAACGGTTAGAATGTAGAACTTGTGTTCAGTGACGGCCTAGAAGAGCTGTGCCCTGTAGTCCACTCTGCTTCGATGTGCAGGTTGCTGCTTTAGCATTTAATAAAGCCCAGCCGCCCTCCCTGCAGGATCGAGATGAGGTCTACAGGCCACCGGACGACGCCATGCAGGTTTCAGCTCCTGACCCGCTAGAAGCCGACCTTGATGCCATAGTAGAGCTTCCGGGTGTTAGTTCGACGACCTCGACGAGCACGTCCTCGACCAGCACGTCCTCGTCCAGCAGCACCTCGACATCCACGTCCTCGACATCCACATCCACCTCGACCAGCACGTCGTCGTCTAGCAGCACATCGACATCCACATCCTCCACATCCTCATCCTCGACATCCACATCCACAACCTCGACATCCACATCCTCCACATCCTCATCCTCGACATCCACATCCACGTCATCCACAACCTCGACATCCACATCCACGTCATCCACAACCTCGACATCCACAACCTCGACATCCACAACCTCCACATCCACCACCACAACTTCAACCACATCCACCACGACCACGGTGGCTTCGTAGTGCAAGAAACAGTTGTTGTTGAGTCCTTGCGCCTGCAGTCCCAGGCTTGTCAGCCTTGCTTGACACTCGAACGGTTTAGGGTTAAGGTTTCAGGGTTTAGGAACATTGGCAGCCCAACCGTTAAGCCATAAAGCCCGTAACATCTCCAGAACCAGCCAAAATCCTAATCCTAAGCCCTGTAAACCCTACGCCCTATAAGCCCCAAACCCCATAAACCCTAAACCCTATAAGCCCTAAACCCTAAACTCCTACACCCTAAACCCCTAAACCCCGTAAGCCCTAAACCCTATCAGCCCTAAACCCTAAACTCCTACACCCTAAACCCCTAAACCCTGTAAGCCCTAAACCCTATAAGCCCTAAACCCTAAACTCCTAACTAAGGTCATCGTGCGCATGCCCGCACGGCCCGAAGTGGCACTGGGGGCTGCTCTGGGAACTGTTCTGGGAACAGCTCTGGCGGTCTCCATGGGGGTAGGACTGGGTTGAGGATTTAGGGTGTAGGGTTTGGGCTTGCTTCGGCTCGTTTTTTGGGTTTAGCTTGCGGTTTTGGGTCTGATATAAGGGCCTGGAAAATTAGAATAGGGTTTTTGGGGTATACTATACTATACTTATAGTAAGGAACCCCCCAAAACCTTATTTAATTATTACACCCCCTACATTGAAGAGACTCAGGTCTTGGTTTAGTGGTTGTGGTGTACAGAGGGTTCAACGTTTGAGGGTCAAGCTTGAAATGCCCCAGACGCCCTAAACCCTAAACCCCGAGCACCCCTCTATCATCTCAGCCATGGTCCTTTGCAGGGTTGAGAGTTCAGGGTGTAGGGTTGTGAGTTTTTAGGGTTTAGAAGTTCAGGGATTAGGGTTTAGGGTTTAGGGTTTAGGGATGATTACGGTTTAAAGGTTCAGGGTTGAGGGTTTGCCTTGGAGCTGCGTGTCGGCGACGGTATGTTGTGACAAGGTGGTCGCGGGTGCATCGTACAGTGTCGATGAGCTGTGAAAGCGTGTCTGTAGAATTAGGAACCCCAAAAAGACATAAGCAGAAACATTTTATAGGGATATCCCTACCTTATTGGGCTTCCTTATAGAGGATTTGTATGGGATATCCCTACCCTAAGTTTTGCGTATGTGCTGTTTTGGGGGGCCTAATAGAATGCTTTTTCCTTCCCTCCCACCCCTCGCCGTCTAGGGCGGCCAAACCACCCAAATCGCAAGGACCAGGATTAGGGTAGGGTCTACCTGGGACTCCAATTACCGACAGTTTTATGGGCCTTATGTGTTCTACCTACTAATTAAGGGGTAATAGCTGCTGAACTGTAGGTAAAGAGTGTTGCAAGTGGGGTTTAGGGGTACTGGGTACGATCGTGTGACCGGGTAAACAGAACACAACCTCCTAAACCTTAATCCCCAAGCGAATCCTAAACGGCACCGTGCAATTTTTGCTTTGGAAGAACCCTGAAAGCATGAATTTGCAGAGCACCATATACCTTATAGAAGCATTATAGAAGCGTTGTTTATAGAATCCCTATATACCCTAAACTCCCCGCCTGTAGTTTCCTTAACCCTATAATCCCTAAACCCCTAAACCCTAAACCCTACAGGACTGGGTTTATCTGGCGGACTGGGAATCTACTACGCTTTGGGAAGCCTCACGGTGAGTGTTCCCGATGCCAGCTCCTTCAGTCAGAATGCCCAGGCAGCTCGGCCGGGCTCCTGGTTTCGGCTTTTTTAAGGCGACCATGGGGGGTGTCCATAACTTCTCTTCCTAAGCCCTACCAGCTCGGATCAAACCCCTAAACCATATAAGCCTTAAAGTTACTTCAAATCTATAAGGGTGCAATAATGAGGGTCTCCACTAGGCCTACAAGGGTTCTGGGCGGGATGGGGATTTAGGGTTTAGGCTCTATGGCTTCAGGTTTCGGGCCCCGGCAGGGCCGGTACGGGTCCGGACCCAGAGATTGGAGTCTAAGGCCTAGGGGTTTCGGATTTGAGGTTTAGGATTTATGATTTAGGGCTTCGGGCAAAAGGTTTAGGATTTAGGGTTGGGGGTTTGGGATCGTCTTGGGTTTGGGCTGTTGCTAAATCCTAAGCCCGAAACCAAACCCTAAACCCTAAACCCTAAACGGAAAGCAAGGCCATCCAGGCGGTGAAACGAACGCTCGCGAGGATGGCTGGTGATGTAGCTTGACTTTGAAGGAACGGAGGTTTAGGTTTTAGGGTTTTTTTAGGACTTATAAGGTTAAGGGTTTAGGAACGGAGGTTTGAGAGTGTCTAGAATTGGTTTATGAGGTTTGCTAGGGGGTCTTACAGGGTTTTATGGTATTTAACAGGGGTTGTATTAAAGGTTGTATGTTGTTTTTAGAGGTGCTAAGGAGTTAAAAATAGAGTTACTGTAGCTACATCCTAGCGACACTCTGTTCCCTTATGATGCCAACGTAAACTGCGCTCCTTTGCGAAAGCCCAGGAAGTGGATGAAACTGCAGTGGAACTGGTTTTGCCGTGTGCTCCCGGCGCATTCTTCGCCGCTTACCGTCCTATGCTTCGGAGACTACAGGAGACCATCAACATATGCTTCAACATTCGGGTGTCTTGGATGCAGCGGAAAATGCGTAGCCAATTGCATGCCACGCGGCCTACAGATGGAACATGCCGAAGGTCACATAAAGGCAATGGCTTCATGACCTACAGCCTTAAAGCGCTAGACCTCTGCAACCTATCAACCCCAACCAGCCTAATTGGACAGTAAATCCTTCAGCACAGCTTCAGCATGAAGGACCATCAGCCTCGGCTCAGGAGGGGGCACGAGCTTCTGGTAGGTTTAGTGTTTAGGGCTTGATGATTATTGGAGGCAAGAGCGGTACACTTTCGGGTCTTGTTTCAACACGCTTCAGCAGATACACGTCAGTCACGCTACACACCGACACACCAATCTACGATTGCTCTCGATTTTTTGGCATAGCAAGGCCCTCAACCCTAAACCCAAAGCCCTTTATTTTGGGAAACCCCCCTATGGGTATTGCGGAGCTTGATTTAGCTAGTTACCCTAGACCCTGAACTCTATTGAATTACCCAAGGGCTCCTATGTAGTTCCTTTTGGGATAGTATACTACAGTTCCTTGCCACAAAAAACATAACGGACCCGACAAGGAACTACATTGGAGCCTCTGGGTAGGTACCCTCATCCCCGAAACCTGATTGAGTTGGGCACCCTGAACCCTAAACCCCGAGAGCCTGCGTCAAGTCGGTATGCTACGGTTTAGGGTTTGGGGTTTAGGGTTTTAGGGTTTTAGGGTTTAGGGTTTAGGGTTTGCTACACTCTGAACCTTAGTCGACTTAGGGTGTCGTGTCTTCGAGTATAGAATCTACCCACATCTAGCATTCGGGACCAGCAGCTGCAAAGGACTGTTTAAGTTTTTAGTAGGGTTCGGGTTCGGGGTTTAGGGTTTCGACTATACCTAGCCCAAGTAGGCAAAAGTATGGCCCAATACCCATAAAATGCTATGAAACCTACATGATTTGGGGTGCAGGGCAAGCTCGAAATCCTGATCCCACGCCAAACAGTCGCAAGGTTTAGGGTTCAGGGTTTAGGGTTTAGGCTAGATCTAGGACATTTTCAGGTGGGTAGTTACCGTTATAGGAGCCTTATAGAAGGTCTATATACCTTATAGAAGCCTTATAGAAGCCCTATGTACCCTAAACTCCCCAGCTGTAGCTTCCTTTACTTAGAAAAGGAGACCCGGAGCTCTTTACGTTTCAAACAACCAGGGCCCCAAGCGAATCCCAGGCCAGAATGACCAGGACCCCCCCAAGGGCCCTTTAATAGAGCCCTTATGGCCCTTAATAGTGGGTATTTAGGGTATATTAGAGGGTAGTTGGGGGGTCTAGGGACAGGCCCGAAATGCGGAATGCTTTACTGCCGTTTCCTACCGGCGGAGCAAGAGGTCTTGTGTAAGCATATTGAAACTTTCCTGCTACAGTGATAAGAAGAGACCCTGTGTCCATGCATTTCAATATACCTTCCAGGCAGAAGAGACCCACAGCATGCTGGAAGAAACTCTCCACTCAGGTGTGCTGGGACCCCACGCCGCAAAACATCCCACAGCCCTAAAGCCTTAACCCCTGAACCCTACGCCCTAAGCTCTTCACCTCCACCCTGAGGCCTGGCAATCATCAAGCGGACCCCCGAACCCTCAAACCGAGACACGAAGTTTGCAAGCGGTTTGAGGTTTTGGGGTTTACCTACAGTCTCCATTGTGTAGTTCCTCTATTCTGGTTTAACCCAGTATTTGTTTAGGACGCTATAAGGTAACCCCAAAAAGGAACTACAATGGAGACCATAGGTAGGCTTAGAAATAAGAACCCGGCGTTTGTTCTTCAAGCTGGCATAGCGGTTTAAGGGTTCAGGTTTTTAGGAGAGTGTAGGGTTTAGGGTTTAGGGAGCATAACGGTTTATTGTTAAGGGGTTTTAGGGGAGTATAGGGTTTAGGACCCTACTAAAACCAGGTAGGGTTTAGGGTTTATAGGGTTTTAGGGGTTTTAGGGGAGTATAAGGTTTAGGACCCTACGAAAACCAGGTAGGGTTTAGGGTTTATAGGGTTTTAGGGGCTTTAGGGGTTTTAGGGGAGTATAGGGTTAAGGACCCCACTAAAACCAGGCTGTGGCGGTTTAGACCCTAAACCCTAAACCCTAAGAAGCAGCTAAAATTATATTTTTTTGCTAGGGGTCNNTTTAGGGGCTTTAGGGGTTTTAGGGGAGTATAGGGTTAAGGACCCCACTAAAACCAGGCTGTGGCGGTTTAGACCCTAAACCCTAAACCCTAAACCCTAAACCCTAAACCCTAAACCCTAAACCCTAAGTCCAGGTAGGTTCTAAGTTTGGGGCTTCATGCTCGAGTCGCCAGGACCATGGCAGACGGAATTCTTAGGGGTACTTAGAAATAATTTTTAATCTTTGTTTAGGGTTTAGGGTTTAGGGTTTAGGGTTTAGGGTTTAGGGTTTGGCTACTATAAACCCTAAGAAGCAGCTAAAATTATATTTT